CCTGGGGCCTAGAATGATCTCATCCCCTGGGTAACTCCTCTTTCTCGTTAAGGTTTCGTTCAAACACCACTTCCCTGGAAGTCTCCCATTAGCGCCCTGGAGAGGGAAGCCCTCTTCTTCTTTGCTTCCGAAGCAGCCTCTGAGGGCACTGGGGAATCACGGTACTTGCTGCACTCATAACCTTTTGAGGAACTACCTGTGTTTACTGGTTTAATGATCACAGCTTAATGATTTGAACTTGCGTATTGGCACTGAACTATGCCTCTCCTTGTTTTAGTTATTTTTGTTATAGTTATACTGTAACTTTCAATAATTTCCCTAATAGTTAATGAACAAGTCTGTGTTTTTTTGTTAAATAGTGTGCTTTGGCAAGTTCTGTTCAAGCCCTTCTGTTTCTAGTACGTTCATACTAATCAAAATAACCCTTAGACATAAAAGAAGTTACTTTACTGATACTATGGATTTCCAACGGTTAAAATCTGATTCTCCCCCCTGCCTTTGTTCAAGTTAGTAGGACTTTTTGGTAGAAGTATTTTCTGATTTCTGCAGAAATAGCAAAGAACTATGATACCTAGCATTTAGTTCTAGAAATAAAACCAGCAGAGGGAGCAAAGGAACATAAAACTAGTTTCCTAGGTCCCCACGGAGTAGTAAATGCTATGTTGGCCTGTGGTATTAGGCCATTGTCATCTCTAACCCACATTTTTATATGACCTTCTGTATTGTAACAGAGTGATGGGTGAATGGTTAGGACTCTGTATACATACCAGACTGTGTGCTTCTGAGTTTGGATCTTGACTGATAAGACCCCCAATATCATTCTTTAATGGATCTGGGTTCATCTTTTAAAGTCTTTGTTTTGGGGTTTAAGGGAATGAGATTAATCCTTCAAAACCCCTTTTCCCAGAGTTTGGGATCTCTCAGGGCCCAGGATGGGCTGAATGGAGAGGAGGAGCTCAACAATATGTCTGCATCATCAAGGAATCTCTTAGACATCCCTGCTCTGGCTACAGATGAACGAGCTGTGCTGTAGCCAGACTGACGGTGGGTGCATACCACTATCTATGGATAACAGTAGTAAGCTGACTATGTGACCTGCTACATTTGCCTTCCTGTTAATTAGCAACGTTCCTGGGCCACATCTGGTCTTCCTCAAAGATACTTCATGATAAAGTCATAAAAGAATGCTTTAAACTCTGAGAAAGGTAAGGCATAATGCCAAGCTGACATTTTATTATTCCGACTAACCCAGAAGACAGGAAACCCTCGGGCCACTTCTGGCTCCCCACGCAGCAGTAAGAAACAGCTACACCCCTTTTCTGGCCTAGAGGCATCAACAGGGAGCTCAGAGCACCACTCTCAGCCATACAGTGAATGGTTGCCTACCAAGGAGCCAGGCTGGAAGCCGCCTCTGCCTAAACCAAGTCTGGGAACTACCCAGTCTGGTCACCGGCATGCCGAAGTCAGCACCAAAATTTCACCTTGGGCCCATCCACTCCTGGCTTTCCCATTCCTCCTGCCACATTCAGAGGGGCAGTTTCCTACTAGCTTTCCAATTATATTCTCTATTCTGCTGCCAGAACAATCTTTTAAATTCTGACCAGGTTATCGTCTTTGCTTAAAACTCTTTTACAGTTTCGCATTGACGTCAGGCTACTGCCTCAGTGATCCAAATGGACTCTCACTTCCTTTCTGGCTGCCCGCCACCGCAGAACTCAGTATGCCAGCCAAAAGGAGTTACTAAAGTTCCCAGGAGAGCACACTCTTGCAGATCTCCATGCCTTGGACGACACTGGTTTTCTCCGCCTGGAGTGCTCGCCTCACTTCTTTTTCATGAACTCAACGCTCACTCCTTCCCAAATATCTGAGGTTAAGCAACACCTCTGCTGAGAAGGCCTTCCTGAGAGACTCCCAAACCTGTCTGAGCTAAGCGCTCATTCTGTGTTCCTGGAAGTGCCCTGTACCGGCTTCCCCCTGCCTCTGCCGCCCTGTCACTCTTTGGTTCCTGTCTCTCACTGGGCTGTGAAGAATTTGAGGAAATAACTGTACCTTTTATTTCTACGATAGGGAACAGTGGCTGCGATCAACTAGGGAGAGCAATGCGTGTAAAGAGACCAGGGTCCAGGGCAGAACTCACCAAAAAAGATCACTAAGGAGATGAGAAAGAACAGTCAGAGAAGGAGAAGAAAACTGGGAGAGACTGTGTCATGGAAGCCAAAGGGAGGGCTGTTATAAGCAAGAAGGAAGGGCCATGATGTATAACACTGCGGAAGGTTAAGTACGATATGGTTTAAAACACGTCCACTGGATACAGCAACCAGCAGGTCACCAGCCACCTTGGGGACAGCAGTGTCAGAGGAGCAAGAGACAAGCCAAACTGCAGGTGGGTGGAAGGCAAATGAGAGGTAAAGAATTTGAAGCAGCCAGAAAATGATATTCTTTGAAGAAGCCTTGTTGTTTGCCACAACATGAAGACATCATGCCAAGTGAAAGAAGCCAGTCACAAAACAACGCATCCTGCAGGATGCCTGTGAGGCACCCAGAGCAGGCAAATCCGCAGAGACAGAAGGTAGAATGGTGGCTGCCAGGGGCTGGGGGTGGGGGCATGGGAGTCAGTGTTTAATGGGGTCAGAGCTGCAGTTTTATAATACAGAAAATGTTGTATAGATGTTGTATGAATGTCCTTAATGCCGCTGAGCTGCAAGCTTAAAAATGATGAAAACGGTGAGTTTTCGATTATGTACATTTTACCATAATTAAAAAAAAAAAAAAAGAAAAAAGCAGCACAGCTGTTAAAGAGAATAAGGCAAAAACTGCCTCAACAGGATACAGGATTGAGAGGGTTTTGTTGGTTGAAGAGAAAGCCAAAACATTTAAGCATGTTAATACACTGAGAAGAATGAGTCAGTCAAGGGGAGACAAAGGGAACAGTTTTTGATGTGGAGACCCCAGGAGAATCGGCTCCGGGCCAGAGGACAGGAGACTCCTCAGTGAGGCAGGAGGGCCAGAGATGAGGAAGGGGTAGAGGAAGGTAGGTAGAGGAGAGGAATATAGGGCAGGCAAGAAAAAAAATGTTTTTTGAAAAAGATTTATTTATTTGAGAGAGAGCGCATGGGACTGCACAGGGGCATGGGGGGAGGTGGGGCAGAACGGGACACAGAGAGAATCTCAAGCACTGACCGAGGAGCTGGGGCTCGATCCCAAATCACGACCAAATCTAGAGTCAGACGTTTAGCCGACTGAGCCACTCAGGCGCTCCGAAGAAGAACATTTCTGAAGCTTCTATCTGATCACCTCTATTCTTCTTTGAAGGAGGAGCTGGGGGAGGGGGCAGGGGCCTGGGGAGAGCAGTGAAGGTCTGGAGAAGTCCTGGGGAGTACAGAGGGACTGTGGAGGGGCTGTGTGGAGGGACTGAGGCAACACTGGCAGATGAACTGGAATGCTGAATGGGCAGTGGTAATGGTGGCCTGAGGCTTACGTGCGACTTGCCGCAGCCCCACGGGGACAGTGTGAATGGGGCACCTGTCCTTCCAGGAAGCACCAGGGCACCTGAACCAAGAGCGCTGGGCAGCTCGTTACTGAAGTGACACCCCTCTGGAAAGCCAGAGAGGATGGGGCGCAGACATGGGGGAATGAGGGACTGAAGACTGGTCAACACCGACAAGAGCAAATGGGGCCGGAGGCAGGGCTTAGAAAATCTGAAGATTAGAAGACTGAGTCAGCAGTGAAACGAAGTTTAAGGTTCCTGAGGTGGGAACAGTTCTGGGTCCCTATCAGGCCAGGCTTACCCAGGGTGTAGGTGGCTAAAAAGAGAAACCCAATCAGGAAAGACCTGGGTCCTATCCACAGGGGATGCTTCTATGTGTTCTTCTTCCCAGAAACACAGATAGTTAAGATTATCTTTTAGGACTCTTTTCCCCTGGATTCATTTTCCTCTTTATGCATTCCTTTTTTCTCCCTGAGGAAATCCCTTATGATCTAGGTACTATCCCATTTTACATCCCTATTCACCTACTTGTGTTCTTATATGCCATCTAAACTCAGTATGAACCTTATTCTGTACTAAATCATAGGTTGGTAATCTGTAGGAGACATAAAAAGCCCATTAATAACCATGAAAACAGGCAGTGACTCATTTCCCAGGGTCAACATCACATATTAAAAATACTAGTAAAAACGAATCATTATTGGGGCACCTGGGTGGCTCAGTGGGTTAAAGCCTCTGCCTTCGGCTCAGGTCATGATCCCAGGGTTCTGGGATTGAGCCCCACATCGAGCTCTCTGCTCGGCAGGGAGCCTGCTTCTTCCTCTCTCTCTGCCTGCTTCTCTGCCTATTTGTGATCTCTGTCTGTCAAATAAATAAATAAAATATTAAAAAAAAACAATCATTATCAACTATTCAAGTGTTTTCAGAGGCTAAGCATGGATTATTTTATATTATCTTGCTTACATGATCCTGAGATCCTGATTCTCTCCCCAACAAACAAATCCTAAATAATAGAAGAGCCCAGAAGAAGTAAAAAAGGAGCCTGTACCTTTTTATGTAGCCTAGCTAAACAATGAACATATTTTTTAATTTCACTTGTCTTAGAAGTGGGGGAGTCTGTCTTGCACACCATCTTCTCGCTCCAAGGATGGAAAGGACAAACTGAGGCAGCTGTCTTTTCAGCCTTCCGGGGTTGGTGCAGTTGCCACATAGCCTTAAACAATGTCTCATCAACATACGCCAACACTAGCTTTCTCCAGGGCGACAGGACACAGAACCAAATCACCAACAGTTCTGAAACAGAATGGCTCCTTTTTTTGTGTGCACTGAAAACTGTGGAAAATTTCTGACACTGTATCTTACTGAACCATTCTGAAATCAGTTAAATGTATCATTCCTATCTGAGCACACTGTACTCTGTCACTTTCACAACATGGCAGCTGAATGCCAGAACACGCGGCCGGTGATATGTCACCGTAAGCGCAGCACGTGGAGATACGGCTTGCAGTCCCACCTGTGTGTCCTCTGAATGTTGTGACCAGGGTGCAGTTGTCTTGCTCCAGTTTGAGGATGGTTACTTGGCCTGATTGGTCACCAATAAACACATGCCGGGTTTCAACATCAAATCTATCATGGAAACATTAAGGATCGTTTCTCAAAATTGAGTGGAGGGATTTAAGTACGTACATACATACATACATACATACACCCAAGAAACGTGTAAATCCCATATGAAGAAAGCTTGGATGTTAACACTAAAAGATACAAAAGCAGACACAACGAAGTAAAAGATGCAGCATTATGGGACAGTAAGACATCACATGGTAATGTCATTCCTTACAACATTAATTTACAAATTTAACCTAATCCCTATAAAAATAACAGAGCTTTTTTTTTTTTTTTTTCCTCTCAGAGCTGGGGAAGTTTAAGTTCATATAAAAAATAAACAAGAAGGGCCAGGAATACTCTGAAAATAAGAGCAATGTGGTATGTGATAGGGGAAGTTAGCCCTACCAGATAATAGAACATGTTACAAAATCTCTGTAATTAGAAATGTGGTATCGGTGCATAAACAAGACAAACAGACCCCTGGAACAAAACGGCCAAGTCTAGAAACATCAACAACAAACAGATATCAGCAGCAAAGCCAAAAGACAAACTGGAAAAAATATTTGTAACTTATGTTACAAAGGACCAAATGCCTAACACAAAAAGAAAAATCAAGAAGAAAGCAACCACAAACCTGACAGAAATGGGTAAAACGTATGAACACAAAGTTCAAGAAGAAATGAAGATGAAAATGAAAACGGTGTGTGAAAATGAAAATGTGTGAGTCAAACCAGACCCCAATGCTAGCCTTCAAAAGACTGCTTACAAAGCTGGGTTGGTGTCTCACAACCTGGATTTCTGGAGGGTCCCACCTTTAGCAGACAAGAGTGGCTCCCTGTGCCTTAACTGTACACAGAATATGGTTTATGCCAAATACCTGCTTTTCTACTTACTCCAGAATTTCGGTACCTGTCAGAGAGAGGCTGCCTACGTGACTGGTCTCCAGTACAAACCTAAGGCACTGAGTCTCTAGCTGAGCTTGTGGGGTTGATAACACCTAGTAATGCCACATCTAGAGATCTATCCCACAGATACACTGGCCAAAGTACAAAATGCATGCCGGAGGCTATTCGGGCCACACTATTTTAAATAGCTAAAGTTTGAAGGCAACAAAAAAATTCCAACAAAAGGGCACTTATTGAATTAACTAGGATATACCCATGCAATATTGGGGGGGAAGGACCACCATATCATAAGCAAACGGACATGGAGAAATTTCCAGGGTATATTATAAAGTGGGGAAAACAAGCCAAGGTATTTAAGCTATACTATCTTTGCCTAAGACACAGAGGGCTAGAGAAGTGTGTGTGTGTGTCTTGCAGGGAGGAGGGTGGGGGGTAGACTTACTTTACAAAAGGAAGCTCTGGAATGACAAATCAAGATCTCACACAAGTGGCTGCCTACGCAGAAGGGAGAAACGAGCTGAAGGGACAGGGATGATAATGAGACTTCTCTTGTCATAGTTTCCATTCTGGAATCATGTCATTACTTTACATATTAAAAATATGTATGAATTTAAAAGAAAAAAATCCCCTAAATTGCCAATAAAGTAAAATCAATGAACCTAACTATCAAGTTGGTGATATAACCACAGTTAACAGAATTATTCAAGTGACTCTAAAACAGTGTTTCAACTGTACATCCTTGGGAGAATGTATTCCAAGGATAAGGAGAACTGCAAGGAAATCTAAAATCTCATTCCATAGTCTTGTTGCTATAATACTGCTATTATTATTTTGAAACAGCTTAAATGTACCACAGGATAAAGCAGATATGTTAATGTTTTAGAAGACACAATTTTCAAAATGAAGTAGAAACCCTATAATGTGACCCTAACAAAAGAACTGGTTCAGGAGAGACCAATAAAGGCAAGGCTGATGAGCGGGTCAGTGCCACAGCGACCCAGGGGTCACCACCTGAAAAACTGACCAATTTGGGCCTTGATGGGAAGGGGTGACAACCCACCACTAGGTGCCTCCTGCTGCAAGCACTAGGAACCAGACAGCACAACCACAAGCTGGATCTGAACTGAACCAAGACTGTAGAGGTAACCCCCAGCTTACAAAAAAAACATGGGAGAAATATAGGTAGAAGTGATGAAATGACATCATGAGGAAGCACAGATCACTTCAGAATGAGGGGCTGCCTCCAGGAACATGGACTCTGTATCTCCAACAAGTTATAGGAGGATTTAAAAAAAAAGGGAGGGGTGCCTGGGTGGCTCAGTGGGTTAAAGCGTCTGCCTTTGGCTCAGGTCATGATCCCAGGGTCCTGGGATCGAGCTCCGCATCGGGCTCTCTGCTCAGCAGGGAGCCTGATTCCTCCTCTCTCTCTGCCTGCCTCTCTGCCTACTTGTGACCTCTGTCAAATAAATAAATAAAAATATTTAAAAAAAGGGGGGGGGAGGAGGAGATCACTGCTCTAGATTGAGAGATTTAGAATAGGACAACCATAGTCAATTTGCGAACTGTGTCTGGACCCGATTTCAAATCAACTCACTGGAAAAAGCCAGTAAGTGAGATGTGAAAATGGATCAATTATTCTATAGTATCAAGTAATGGTTATAAATTTTTAGGAGTCATAATAGCATCGTGATTACTAAAATTCTGTATTTTTCAGTGGCGCACAATGAAGTTGGTAAGGATGAAATGACATTAGGTCTGAAATTTGTTTCTGAATACTCCAGCAAGGAGAGAGAGAAAGCCAAAAAGATTGAAGAATCAATCCTGGATCTGATGAGTATGTGAGTGTCCATTACAGCCTCTTCTCCCAGATGGTGCATGTTTTGAAAATTTTCATCGTAAGTGAAGAACAAGGCACCACAAATTCTCCCAGTCTCAAGAACAAGGGAGATATATGTAAAACAATATTAAGATTGATGTGGACTAAGATCACCTTATGTTTACCTAGATTAATTATAAGGACACAGATGAAGAAACAAATGCACTCTGATACCCGACAGTCTTTATGATGGCAGGTAAATAGTAGCAGTCTCGTAAAAAAATATAAATGCAGCAAAAGCTATTTGAAAGAGAACTGAAATAATAAAATTACAGTACAACCTCAAAGCCAGCATGACCGTCATTAATATAAAAATCAAGATAATCTTATAGCTTTCCAGTACTCTTGCCCTGAATATGAATAGATCTAAGAGACTTCCTGGTGAAAAGACCTTGTCCTATATAGGGTGACATCCTGGAAATACCTACAACATGAATAAAATCTTGAAACGGAGAGTACCTTAATTATTTCTGCAGAAGCATGAAAAATGGGATTGAAACACAGTCAAATGAGAAGACTAAAAGTTGAAGCTTAAGTATGCACAAATTTAAATACCAGGAAGTAAAGTGACGAAGGAAAACAGTTCAATTTCCTAACATCAACCTGCCAGGTGACCTTTGGGAAATACCTCCACTCTGCTGTATTTAGGTATTCAAAGGGCTAGTGGAAAGATTGTAATACCCGAGTTCTAATCCTGGTTCTGCCAGGTCGGAGTCCTGACAGTCCCTTAACCTTTCTGAGCCTTGGTTTCTACACTGTGAAAATTGGGAATTTGGTCTTTTGGTTTTTACTTCTAATTATTGTTCTGAGAGTGAGCAAAGTAACATTATGTAGAAGCACTAAATAAAACTTTCGGGAACTGCAAATTAAGACATTTTTCTTTTTCCTCTGCTCCTTGCTCTCCTCTCTTCCTTTCAATTACTGTTACTGTTAGTGTTCTAGCTCTCTTAATGCGTGAAGCTTCAGACCTTTAGCCAAAGCAACCAAAGATTTTGAGGTTATTCAGAATCTGGTAATTCAATTTTTCAAAGGTCAGTCTCTTTGTCTTCCTTTATTTCTCTACTTGAATTTTGGTTATTTCCACTGCACACATACTTCTTCCCCTCCCCTATGAGGCCAGAACAAAGAAAAAAAAAAGGCTAACTCAACCTGATTTTTCTCTGTTGCTGACGTGGATGAATGACCATTTGAGTTGGAGATGGGAAAAAGGTGGTTCATCTGTGGAAGTTTCTTATGTAACACCACCACTGTCCACTAGGAAGAGACATTAGGGTACTGATATTATTCTTAATATTTTATGTTGTTTCAGCAGAACTTCTTTCTTAAGAAACCTGTAAGTATGACAGGTGTCAGAAAGAAGAGGAAAGAGGTGGGGTGGAGGATTCCCATGAAGAAATGTGTTTAAAAGTTGGATTTTAGTGTGAACCCCAACACTGTATGAGTATGTTTACACTGTTAACAATCTGTGCACTGGGCACCTTCCAGAAAAAACCCTCCAGCCCTGGGAAAGTCGCATGTTTCCCATACGACACCCTCTGAAAAAGTAGCATCAAGTTATGCAGTGTGCACAGAGCATCGGAAACTTATCAGAGATAGAAGGTTGTAAGGCCATTCTTAAATCAGGAGTAAGGGCAGGCACTGTGGCTCCAAACTCGGAGCTGAAGAAGCAAAATGTGGAAGGTGAGGGAATCTTCTGGAAGAGCCTGAAGCTCCCCTCCCCATTAACAGCAAGGCTGAACTAGATGGTTACACTGGGAAATGAACCCAGAGGCTTTTACACACACACACATACACACACACGCACACGCTTCTGATATCAGATCACATGATTTTTTCAGCTTGGTAAACCACATGGTGTGGTCAAAGGAAACAGCTGAAAAATGAAGGTGACTTTAGAAGATGCCTAAAGAGAAGGGTCAGGGACCACCACAGTCAGGAGACTTTCGATTCTGGGCATTCGTGTTGTTTCTCATTTTCAGATAGCTTAAAAAGTAAACTTCTTAAGGGTAAGATCTGCCTTTTTTCTATATTCCTTGGCTTGGCTAAGTAATAAAGAAGATGTATCTTTTAGGCGTAGCTAGTGATGTAGAAGCCAGCATAGTACGAACAAATTCTATTGACGCCATTCTGGTCTCAAAAGGGTAACATGGTATGATGGGAGAAAACAGTGCAAGGCAGAAGACCTGGGTTCTGGTGACTTTCTGACATACTAGCAGGGTGGCTGCAGATAAGGCAGGAGACCCTTTCTGCGCTTCAGCTGACTCATCTGTAAAACGAGGAGTTGACCCAGATGACCACTAAGGGCCTTTCCAATTCTAATACTGTAAGAAATCAGTCAACTACGACAAGAGAGTTCATATATTTCGGGCATATATGTCAACTGGCTTTTAGAAAGTAAACTCAGGTTTCTTAACAGCGGGTATCACCCTCTCAAAGATAAGTTGATCCTGCTTGCCGCTCCTTATCACTCTCATTTCTGGCCTGCTTGGCAACATGCCATTTTTAGAACCTTCCACGATGGCCATCCTTAGTTTCATTATCTTGCTCTTCCAAGTGAGGAAAACAAGAAAGAAAAAGAGGAGTGCCATTAGCTAACATTCACACACACACAAATACAGCTACTGTCGCCCGTCTGCAAGGAGACAGCAAAGTACTTTGTCAGATTTGTTGAGAATCACTGAATAGGCATTTTATAAATATGAGATGAACATCTGAAAGCAAGTCTCACTATTTCTTCCTGCTTTTGCTGACAAGTGATCTGTTTCCATGTATTCCCTCATTCATCACAAGGTGGAGAGTGATTCTCTGCTTTTTAAACCAAGAAGCCCAGGGTCTGCTGTTCCTTACGCAGCATCACCGCCCCGGGTTTCACACCAGTCAAGCCCGTGTATGCTGCAGCCCAGTGGGCCGAACTTGAGGATTACCCAGCATGAGCGATAATTCACACCGGGCGTATAAGTCTCGAGACTTGGGGGATAAGAATTAGTATCATTCTACATATCCTGGAAGGGCCTTATACCTGGAACAAAGTCTGTACTATTACCGTGTAAATACCAGTTAACCTACTAGTGGTTGTGGCCCTGTAGCTTCTCCATAAATATTTTAAAATAAATAGGATTCTGATGGTTCTTCACAACCTTAATATCTGTATGCAAATTACTTCTGTAGGTAAAGGCTGTCTTTCATTGATGGTTTTATCTCCCTGTTCCAGAATTCCTTCCGACAGCTGACGTTCAGAAATCTGGACTGTGTCCTGTCTGGATGTCAGACTTGTGTCACAGTCACCTTACAAGCTGCTCAGCAGAATCTGTTATTTGGGGGGAAATCACCTCACTTTCACCCACCTCCGTGAGGACCCTCCATGATTTGTGTTACCAGTCAAGTCAATGAGAATCTTAATCAGCAGGGCAACTCAGCAAATAACAAACTTTCAAGTTGCACATACCCAAACTTTTCCCATGAAAGAAAGGAGACAACAGCTAAGTTCCCACCAAGGGATTTTTGTTCAGCAAAGGATACTGCAGGCCCGAGGCCACGGCACTGGTACGGTAACCTCCCAGGCGTTGCCCACTCTCCGAGCAGTGCCAGGCAAACTGCTTGTCCTGCCCTGTGCTCAGCACCCACTCCAGCTCCAGGACAAACAGGATCATCGTCACTCTGCTCTGATGCGCTAAAAGCCAAGAGACAAGAAAATAACCCATAAAGCATCATAAAGGAGATTGATAAAGCATGGTCCACAGAGACGTGACACTGTCTTCTCCCCATCCCAGAGGAAGCTGGAGAGTACGGACAGCCATTAGAAACACAGCCCGGAACAGTGGTTCTCACTAGGGGGAGAGGTATACCACTGTAGACGGGCATGCCTGAGTTGTTTAAAAAAAAAAAAAAAAACAACTATCCATTTCCTTCCATCCCTCTCTTTCTTTCCCGCCTGCGCCAACCCCAAGTTCACCACCATCCAGAAGTCCCCATTACCAAAGGGCCTGGGCCGCCTCTCTCAGACATGACAGAGCTGCTGGACTGGAGAGTGTCAGTCTTAGTGTGATCACAGAACAACAGAACACATGATGTCTTATAAGAAAGTCACCTGGGTGAGTTTATGCAAGCTTAAAAAAAGTACGGAGCGTTACTGTTCTCCTTTTGGTGAAATGTGGCTTACTAAACCCACAACAAAGTTCTAGATGAATTTTCTGTAAGAAATCAAATGCTGGGAAGGAGGGCAGAATTACTCCCAAGTGACATGTAAAAGAGAAGGAAATCACCCTTATGTCAAAGTATACACACATGTGATAAGGAGGGCAAATCTCCCAGGGTTGCTCACACACAGGCAACACCATCACAGAATTACCATATCACACAATTTCACAGTTAGAAGAAACTGCTCATGTCATCTACTCCATCTCCCTATTTTACATATGTGTAACCTCAGGCACAATGAAGTTGAGTAGTTTGGCCAAGATCTCATGGCTTCTCAATTATCAAATAAAAATCCATAAAAATTTGCTTTTTTCTTAAACAGTTCCAGAGGGTGAGGCAGAGGGTGTCCATGGCTGCTGAACAGAGCTGACTGGGATAGACAAAGATCAGTAACCTGAATCGGGACCTCACTGGCCCTGTGCCCAGGAGCTGGCAGTCTGGTGGGCAAGAGCAGACCCGTCATGAGCGTGATGATGTGATAGAGAAAACATCACTTTCCCATTTTGATCGTGAAAATAGAGTTAGTAGGGATGGACCAATGCAGCTCTACTGACAATAACAGTATCACCTGCCAATTTCTGAGTGTCTAACAAGTGCCAAGAACTTAAAAATAATTCTTTCACTTAGTCACTATAATGACCCTGCAAAAGTGGGTGGTTTCTTCATCTTACAGACACAACCTGGCCTTGGCAGGAGGGCCCTTTTACACTGGCTACCAAACCAAAGAGTACCTACAGGACAACCATTCCACCAAATGCCTGATATTTTAAAATCTGATATTTGGGGGCACCTGGGTGGCTCAGTGTGTTAAAGCCTCTGCCTTCAACTCAGGTCATGATCCCAAGGTCCTGGGTTCGAGCCCTGCATCGGGCTCTCTGCTCAGCAGGGAGCCTGCTTCTCTTCCTCTCTCTCTGCCTGCCTCTCTGCCTACTTGTGATCTGTCAAATAAATCAATAAAATCTTTAAAAAAATACAATAAAATCTGATATTTGAAGCATTGAGACTCTCAAGGGACACAACAAAGAAGGGGTATAGAAGCAGTAACACCATGACTTCTCTACAGTAAACACCTGCCTGTCAGAGTATCAATCACCATTCGAGATCAAAATGTTTGTTGTCTTTAACATAAAAGATATGACTTCTCAGAAACTCCTGAAGATCTTGTCATCAAATGTCCAATTCGATCTCCACCAATGATGGAATCAAATGAACTTCTCTGTTGCTTCAAGTTTCTCAACTCTATTTCAGCGAGATGGTAGCCTCCAGCATTTTGTCCCTATGTGCCATCACTTTCTAAGTCCAAGGGGGAGGACGGCAGCCCAAAACAGAAGGGAGGGGTTAAGCACTCTGAGCTGCCCTGACGTGAGGGGAGTAGACAGAGGCTCTCAAAGGTTGAGTGACTTGCTCAAATCGGCACAATGAATGATCAAACTAGAACTAAAACCCTAGCTTCTCTTTCTGTCAGGCTGGCTAGAACTACTGAAAAACAACAAAACATGCCCCCAAACTCAGAGCACAAACTCTTTCTAAGGTGACAGAATTCTTTAATTCAAGAAGAAACCCTTTAAAGGCGCATACATATCACTAAGCTGCAGAAACGTGGGCTTGAAGTCTGGCCATACTTCTTGACTAGGGAGGCTGAGAGAGGACATCCTTGTCTTGTTTGTGATCATAGTGGGAAAGCATAACATTTCTCACAATTAAGTACAATGTCAGCTGCAGATTTTTGTAGATATTTCTTAATGGAGGTGAGGAAGATCGCCTTGCTTTGTAGTTGGCTCTGTGTTTTTATCATGAATAGGTGGCAGAGTTTATCAGATGCTTTTTCTGCACCAATTGATATGATCATATCATTTTACTTCTTTAGCCTCTTGATGTGATGGATTACACTGATTTTCAAATGTTAAACCAGCTTTGCATATCTGGAATAAATCCCCTCGGGCATGGGTGTGTAATTTCTTCTGTATATTCTTGGATTTGCTAGAATTTTTTGAAAGGATTATAACATCTAAGTTCATGAGAGTTACTGGTCTGTAGTTTTCTTAATAGTGTCTTTGGTTTTGGTATCACTGTTTTTTTAAAAAAATGTTTATTGAGGTAAAATTCATCATTTAAATAATTGTAGAGTGTATCATTTAGTGGCTTTTATTATATTCACAAAGTTGTACAATCATCATGGAAAAATGTTCTATTTATAGAACATTTCCATGACCCCAAAACAAACCCACATCCCCAATTCCTCCTTCCCTGTCCCTGGGCAACCACTAATTACTTTCTATCTCAATGGATTCCTCTATTCTTCTTTTTTTCTTTTTTTTTTAAAGACTATTTATTTTGGGGGGGGAATAGCACTCAAGTGGGGGAGGCGCAGAAGGAGAGGAACAAACAGACTCCCCACTGAATGGGGAGCCCACTGTGGGACCTGATTCCAGGACCCAGAGATCATGACCTGACCCAAAGTCAGATGCTAAACCAACTGAGCCACACAGATGCTCCTCCCCCATTCCTGACATTTCATATAAATGTATTCATATAAAGTGTGGTCCTTTGTGTCTAGTTTCTTTCACTGACTTAGTGTGTTTTCAAGGTTCATCCACGTTGTAGCATGTATCAATATTTCATTCCTTTTTTGTGTCCAAAACATAATTCATTTTATTGGTATACCACATTTTATTTAACCATTCATCCATTCATGGGCCTTTAGGTTGTTTCTTCTTGCCTATTGTGAATATAGGCACAATGGCATGCAATCCCTCCTTCCATTTCTTTTGGGTATAAATTTGAAATAATCCTTGCTTGGTCATGATGTACTATCCTTTGTATACGCTGCTGAATTTAATTTGCTAAAATTCTGTTGGGATTTTTTGCATCTGTTTTCATGGGGAAGGCTGGCCTGTATATTTCTTTTCTTGTACTGTCTTTGTCTAGTTATCATGTCAGATACCACCACTTCAAAAATCAGCTGGAAAGTCTTTTTCTGAAGGAGTTTGTGCAGAGTTTGTACTGTTTCTTCCTTAAATGTTTGATAAAATTCACTAGTAAAGCCATCTGGGCCTGGGGTTTTCTTTGTGGGAAGGTTTATTTATAAAGTCAATTTCTTTAGTAGATATAGGGTTATTAGGGTTATCTATTTCTTCCTGACCTTTCACAATTTTTACCTTTCAAAGATTTGTTCATTTCACTTAGGTTGTCAGATTTATTGGCATAAAGTTGTTCATAATATTCCTTATTATTCTTAAATATCACTACAATCTCTAATAGTGTCACTTCCCTTATTCCTGATACTGGTGGCCTGAATCTTCTCTCTTTTTTTTCTGGTTTAAGTCTGGCTAGAGGTTTATTGCTTTTATTCATCCTCTCAAAACAAACAACAGTTTTTGGTGTCATTGATACTTCTTTATTTTCTTTTTCTATTTCATGAACTTCTGCTATGATCTTTCTTCTCTTCTGCTTAAGATTTTATTTATTTATTTGAGAGGGACAGAGGGAGCACAAGCAGGGGGAGAGGCAGAGGGAGAAGCAGACTCCCCACTGAGTGGGGAGCCCGACATGGGGCTCGATCCCAGGACCCCAGGATCACGACCTGAGCTGAAGGCAGATGCCCAACTGACTGAGCTACCTGGATGCCCCCCTTTGTGGTTTCTTGATGTAGAAACTAAGGTCACTGATTTGAGACCTTTCTTTCTTCTAACATAGGTGTTTAGTTAAGTACTGCTTTAGTAGCATACCACAAATTTTGATACGCTGTTTCCACTTTGATTTCTTCTTTGACCCATGGATTACTTAGATGATTCATGGTTATTTAGCTTCTTAATATTTGGGGGCTTTTCTGGAGATATTTCTGTTAATTGACTCCTGGTTCAGTATTGTTTTGATCAGAGAACACACCTTTGAATTCTTCCAAATTTACTGAGACTCGTTTTATGGCTCAGAATACGATCTACCTTGATAAATGTTCTGTGTGAAGTTGAAAAGAATGTCTTCTGCTTTAGTTTAATGGAATGTTCTACAGATGCCAATTACAGCAAGTTGGCTGTGTACTATGTTCAAGCCTTTTATACCTTACTGATTTTCTGCCTACTTATTCTGTTCATTACTGATATATCCAGTCAATTATTGAGAGGAGTTCTAAAATTTCTGACTAAAATTGAGGATGTGCCTATTTCTCCTCCTGAAGTTTCATCAGGTTTTGCTTCATATATTTCAAAGCTATGTTTATTAAGAGTATAAACATTTGGGATCATTATGCCCTCCTGATGGACTGATCCTTAATCATTATGAAATAATCTCTGGTAATATAATCCTTTATCCCTGGTAATATTCTTTTCTCTGAAGTCTAACTATTATTAACCCAGCCACTCCAGCCTTCTTTTGACTACTGTTTGTACTATGTATCTTTTGTTATCCTTTTATTTGTAACTGCTTTATGTCTTTATATTTAAAGTGCATTTCTTGTAGGTGGTTTATATTTGGGTCTCCTTTTTTCATTCAAGCTGATGGCCTCTGCCTTTTAATTGGCCTCAGACCACATACATTTAATATGATTATTGATAACTGGTAGGTTTAAATCTATCCCTTTGCTATATGTTTTCTATTTTTCCCTCTTACTCTTTTTTTTTTGGCAGGGGAAGAGGAGTTCAGTGAGAATGATTTTAATGATTCCATTTTATCTCCTTGGCTGGCAAATCAGTTGTAACTTTTGGATTTGTTCTTTTATGGTTGCTTTAGGGCCAGAAGTATACATCTTTAACTTACCATAGTCTTCCTTCAAGTGATTCTACTCCACTTCATGTGCAGCATAAGAATCTTACAACAGAATACATTTCCATTTCTCCCCACTTCTTGGCTTTTGTGTTACTGATGTCAAACATTTTAATTTTACATGTTATGACCCTCATGCTACTTTATTACTTTTAGTTAAGAAGCAAATTGTCTTTTTATAAGATTTAAATAATAAGGAAAAATCTTATAGTAACCATGCCTGCTGTTCTTCATCCTTTTGTGTAGATCCTTATCTTCCTTTGGCATCATTTACTTCCTTCCTGAAGGACCTCCTTTAACATTTCCTTAAGTGCAGGTCTATGAATTCTCTGTTTTTTATGCCTGAAAAAATTTTTATTTCACCTCCATTTTTGATATCTGTTAATATCAATCCACTCATAGTGGATTGATTCCTTTTAACTTTTGTAATTTTATTTTTATTATTATGAATTCATCTTAAGCAGGGCTTGTTTTTGCTGTGAGATCTTTGTGTGACTTGTCTTGTTGAAGAGAGCTTCTGAATTTATTTCTAGCAGGTACCAGGAGGATACCACTGGCCCAGGACCAATTCATACGTTAAATTCTTAAGCTGGAGCTTCTAGCACCACATGAATGATTTAAATTTGTATTCCAAATCCAGAATTTTAGGTTGTAATTTTCATTTACCTGGAAGATTTTTCCCCTCGATCCAGATTTGAGATCAGGAATAAATTATGCTATGGTCTTCTGGGCCAATAAGTGGAGAGTATGGATCCTCTCTTTCTCATGGGCTACAGTCCTTTATGCATTTCATCTTTGTATGTAAATAAGAGTTGCAACTTCCTATCTCACTCAAGTCCTAGGTCTCATCTTTTGTCCCTAAGTGAATGTTCATACAAAAGCTTTTACCTATTAGAAGTTCTATTTTTCTCCCCAAGATAGCTACAATGTCAGGTAGTATGCATATCACTTTGAGTTTTAATTCTGTCTTTGCTTCTGGTACATGGGACTCACCCTCCTGTTTCTCTCATGGGCTTAGCATTGCATTAATAAAAAAAAAAAAAAAAAAAAAAAAAAATATATATATATATATATATATATATATATATAAAATGACTACTGGGATTTCAAAATGTCTTGATAAGCTGAGATGATGGACTTAATAAAATGAGATGATGAATAACCTGTAGTCCAGCATTTAGGCTAAAAACAAAATAAACCTCCCTCTCCACCCCCATACCAAGAAAAGCAACAGCTTCAAAATTACAGGAGACATAGTTTAATAACAACTCAAGTGAGAATCATTAAGGGGTTTGAGCTCACTGCTCCACATGAGCCCACAGTATAAAGTGGCTTGTCAGAAGTTCACCCTTTATAGAAGAGTGACCAGAAGAGGAAGGAAATACAATTCTGTAGTTATCACATTACATATGTATATTGGTTATCTACTGTATAACAAATTATGCCCAAACTTAATAGCATAACACAGTAAACATTTATTATCTCAGAACTTCTGTGGATCAGAAATCTTCGTATAGCTTAGCTTGGTGCCTCTACTGAAAGGTGTCTCACAGGATGAAATCGAGGTATGTGGTGGGACTACGGTCTCAACTCTAAGACTGACAGAGGAAGGACCTGCGGAACTCCATGCTCTCTCATGTCGACTAGACTCAGCTCCTCAGAGGTTACTGAACTATCTGAGGGCTTCAGTTCCTTAACAGCCACTGAAGTGGCTTCCCTCAGTTCCTCACCACATAGGCCTCTCCATAAAGTAGCTCACAAGATGGCAAGCTGGCTTCCAGAAAGAGCAGGAGAGGGCAAGCAAGAAGGGCTAATCTCTTTGTAACCTAATCTTAGAAGTGACATCCATTTGCCATATGTTAGGTACAGTCTACACTCAAGGGGGGTCTACACTCAAGGGCATGAATAACAGAAGACAAGGATCATCAGGAGCCATCTCAGAGGCTGCCTACCACAATGTGTCCCTTTTTAAATGGCTCCAGAGGTACAACATGATATCCCAAGATCTGTGACCAAGACAACTAAAAAACAAAATTTTTTTAAGGAAAAAAATTCAGGTCATGTAAAGGAGAATGTAAAATGTTTGAGATATAAGGAGGAAAGAAGAGACCAGGGTGGGAATTTTCATGGCTGTTTTAAAATCACTGAAAAGCTGTCATGTATAACAGAGATTCAACTTAGTTTCTGTGGCTCCAATAGGCTGAACAAAAACCAACAGAGGAACTTTCTAGTATTCATAACATAACATTTTAATGACCTGGCTACCTGTCTGTAACCTCTACATAATTACAAACTGCTTATAGGCAGGTACTACACATGTCTTGTTTACTATTATGATCCTCAGTTACTGAAACTCAGTAGGTACTCAAGGAATACTTGGTAAGTAGTATGTGAAAACAAAGAATAAATCCACAGGGAAATGAATTTTGGCTTAAAATCTAGAAATAAAGAACTTAATACTTGAATTTTATAAAAATCGGGATGGTTTGCTAGGTATGTTTTTGGAGGTATTGGAAAAGAGTGTGGATGATCATACAGGATGGATGGAATCAAGAAATTGTGGATGAAATAACCTCTAAGTCTTAAAAGATCCACTTCTAATGTTCTGATCCTATAACATCATTGGTCTAGATAAATAAATCATTACAGAAAATGGCTCCTGATCCATGTATGGCACACTGCCAATGTTGAAGACACATTAAATTCCTTTCCCTTAGACAACATGGATATTCTAGGCCTTTAAACATATTTAACCAAAAATATGAATATGAATATGAATAACGAGCCCCATGTAAAGCAGCTCACTTCTAACACTGACCCTACTCTCTGCACCTGCTACACTGCTTTGAGGCCGTGTAGTGTAGCAGAGAGACAAAGGACAAAGGTCAGAGGTTCTGGGGTCACAACAACCCAGTCCGGTTCTGCATGTAACCAGCTACAGGACCTTAGGCAAGTCACCCAACCTCATTAGGCCTCAGTTTCTTAACTCAAAGACTCGGATAAAATTCACCTGAAAGGGCTGCTCTGTTTTGTTTCCCCTGACTACTGTAAAGTGAAGCCGTCAAGAGACATTTCAAAGTCTAAGTAAAAACACTGCTGTCTCATGCCTACCTTGATAGTTTTTCACAGGAGTCATCTTGTTATAATCTTCTGATAAAATAAACTCCTGCAAAAGAAAAGAAAAATATCAAGTAAAAAGAAATTCTTTAAGTGAATAATTAGGTTTTGAAAAAACATCATCGCAGAATTAGATCTAACATTACTATGGCCAATCAACTCAGCATTTTTGTACATCTTTAAAAGTAACGATTATGATTATGATTCAATGCAATTACAATTTTTATCTTGTAACACTGAGGTTGGTTTTTTGTTTTTGTTTTCTTGAGTATATGTGTGAAAAAGAAAATGATCAAGTTCAGTTGTCTTGACAGTGGTCAATTTTGAAGATAACCCTCATTCAACTTGCTACAGCTGCAAATTTGGCCGGTGAGCAAATCGATGGCAATTCTCTATTATAGAAGCAAATCAGGTATTTTATTTTATTTTTTAAAAGATTTTATTTATGGGGCACCTGGGTGGCTCAGTGGGTTAAAGCCTCTGCCTTCAGCTCAGGTCATGATTCCAGGGTCCTGGGATCGAGTCCCGCATCGGGCTCTCTGCTCAGCAGGGAGCCTGCTTCCTCGTCTCTCTCT